AATGCTTACAATTGCTTCTCCACACCAATCTAACAGCGAGGCAGCTGTTCCCAGCTCCGTACTCTATGGAGTAGTTGAAGCAACAGGAGACACTCCCCTTCCACCAGTTTATGTACCTTCTTCTGCCGGGCTGCAGGCATGCAGCCAAAGACTAGGTAAAAGGTAAAGGTAAAGGACCCCTGGACGGTTAAGTCCAGTCAAAGGTGACTATGGGGTGCAGTGCTCATCTCGCTTTCAGGCCAAGGGAGCCGGCATTTGTCCACAGGCAGCTTTCCGGGTCATGTGGCCAGCAGGACTAAACCGCTTCTGGCGCAACAGGACACCGTGATGGAAACCAGAGCGCATGGAAACGCTGTTTACCTTCCCACCAGAGTGGTACCTATTTATCTACTTGCACTTTGACGTGCTTTCGAACTGCTAGGTTGGCAGGAGCTAGGACAGAGCAACAGGAGCTCACCCCATCGCGGGGATTTGAACTGCCGACCTTCCGATTGGCAAGTCCAAGGGGCTCAGTGGTTTACACCACAGTGCCACCCGTGTCTTGCCTCCATGACAACGTCCTTTGCTCCTCCCTTTTCACTCCCCTCCTGGTACTGCGAGATAGTGATGCAGGAGAGAGTGGAAACCCCTGGCCCTTCCCCTGCCTGACCTGCCTCTTTCTCCTCTTCTTCCAACCCATCCTGTGCTCCACCCTACAGCTCAGAAGCTTACCTTGCCTCTGATTCTTGCCTCCTGGCTGGCATAGGTCCCCACAAACCACTGCCCCCTATCCCGAGTCATGTTGCAGCGTGCTGCCAGTCCCTGACACAAACCATCCTTGTTGTTTGCCCTGGCAACTGCCTTTGACGATAGCGTCTAGAAATAACGCTGACATCAAAGGATTCCATGCTGGAGCTACTAAAATGAAGTAAACTACATGTTTACTTTACATAATGTGGTGCTTTATGTCACTTACCCAAGCATGAACCTTTGAGAGCTAATGTGTGCACTGAAAAGTTTTGAATCCACCTTGAGGCCACAAATCTAAAATCACGTACATTACTAATGCAACCCCTTTAGCTGTGAAAAAAATATTTCAGGACATATTTTCTCCTATCTGGCCAACCGACCAACTCCTTAAGTTGTACACAATTTTCACAGACACTGGTTAATTGGTTACATGGGAGATTTCCTTGAACCTTCCTATGGATAATCAAGCCTTTGGTATCACCATTCTTTTTTGTGAGCTTAATATGTATTGTTAGATTTTTCAGGTTTCTAGCACATTCATAAACAAATGTAAGTTTTGCTTTACATAATATTTATGATTGTGATTATGCTGCACTGTGCTAGTGACCATATAACCGTTTTATTTTATGTTTTCTTTCTTTCAGTAAAAGGAGCATTCTCTTTCAAAGAGAATGTTTCATTTTGAAGCTTTCCGTCCTTCTCGCGTAAAGTCTTGCAACTTTTTTCGCCCTTCCTCCTCGCCTTCATCCTCAGCCCGGACACTTCAAGTGCTTGGGTCGTGTAAAATGTAGTAATTTCTAATGTGGTTGTTGCAGTAATGTGGTTTTTTTAGCTGGGAGGAGGGGTAACAATATAGCTCTTTGCCAAGGATGCGAGGGGCCCTGGGTACGCCTCTGTCTTCACACAGGATAATAAACCCAGTATCTTCCTGAGAAAAGCATTCTGAACTCTTTTTTTAAAAAAAATAATATTTATTATTTTCCAACCATTTAAACACTACAAAGAAGAAAAAAAGAACAATACAATACAATACAATACAAAAACACTACATAACAATAACACATTAAACTAACAAAACAGAACAAAAACAAACAAAAACAGTTTAAAACACATTTAAAACATTTTCAATATCTTATCTTTCATTCACTTATTTCAACGACCTCCTCACACCTCCCTTTTTGTATTCCACTTCTATTAATTGTTTCAGCAATTCCTTTCCATCTTCCTCTGTTATCTATCCTATAATTATCTTAACACATTCTAACCGTATTTTTTCCTTTAATATTCTATTAATCTATTTATACTTAATTCCTTATAACATTTCTACTAAAGCCATATAACTTCATTACAACATTCTTCTAACATTCATAAATTTTACCATATTTCTGTAGATAGTCTTTAAGCTTTTTCCAGTCTTCTTCCACCGACTCTTCTCCCTGGTCTCGGATTCTGCCAGTCATTTCCGCCAATTCCATGTAGTCCATCAACTCTTTCCCCTGAACTCTTTCCCCTGAAGTCTTTCCCCTGAAGTCTTTCCCCTGAACTCTGAAATCCAAATGGGAATGGCACGAGTAAGTTGAGCCAAGGAAGTCTTCAGTGCTCAAGTTGTCCAGAACCCAGTATCTGTAACTGGTTGCTTAGGCCTTGGTGTTACTCCTACCTGAGCTTGGTATGAACCCAACTTACCTTGTTTAATCTTACCTAGAGCGGTGGTGTTGGGACGCGTGTGGCGCTGTGGGTTAAACCACAGAGCCTAGGACTTGCCGATCAGAAGGTCGGCGGTTCGAATCCCCGCGACGGGGTGAGCTCCCGTTGCTCAGTCCCAGCTCCTGCCAACCTAGCAGTTCGAAAGCACGTCAAAGTGCAAGTAGATAAATAGGTACCGCTCCGGCGGGAAGGTAAACGGCGTTTCCGTGTGCTGCTCTGGTTTCGCCAGAAGCGGCTTAGTCATGCTGGCCACATGACCCGGAAAAACTGTCTGCGGAGAAACACCGGCTCCCTCAGCCTGTAAAGCGAGATGAGCGCCGCAACCCCAGAGTCGTTTGCGACTGGACTTAACTGTCAGGGGTCCTCTACCTTTACCTTGTCCAAAGACAAATAATAATATTAAACAAAAATAAAACCTAACAGCCTTGAACTTCGCCATCGACATTGCACACTGAGCAGACACACAGGTCACCTGCTCACTATAGTAAGATGTGATATCGGCAAGGCAGCTACGGCAATGGCTCGCCTCTCCAAAAGGAAATGGGAGATGCTAACAACCATTGGTTTTCCATTGGCTATGGTTTTCCCAGTAGTGATGTATGCAAGTGAGAGCTGGACCATAAAGAAGGCTGATCTCCAAAGAATTGATGCTTTTGAATTATGGTGCTGGAGGAGACTCTTGAGAGTCCCATGGACTGCAAGAAGATCAAACCTATCCATTCTGAAGGAAATCAGCCCTGAGTGCTCACTGGAAGGACAGATCCTGAAGCTGAGGCTCCAATACTTTGGCCACCTCATGAGAAGAGAAGACTCCCTGGAAAAGACCCTGATGTTGGAAAGATGGAGGGCACAAGGAGAAGGGGACGGCAGAGGACGAGATGGTTGGACAGTGTTCTCGAAGCTACCAGCATGAGTTTGACCAAACTGCGGGAGGCAGTGGAAGACAGGAGTGCCTGGCGGGCTATGGTCCATGGGGTCAGAGTCGGACACGACTAAATGACTAAACAACAACAACAAACAACCATTACCAAGACGAAGGTCTACCAGGCTTGCATGTCGATGATGCTGCCTTATGGTAGCGAGTCATGGGCAACTTACACCCACCAGGAGCAATGGCATATGTGCTGTGTCAGAAAGATTTTGGGCATCACATGGCAGGACACAATTCCAAAGACGTGCTCTCCCAAGCCTACATTCTCAGCATGCTTGCACTCCTGTCTCAGTGACGGTCTACGCTTCCTTGGTCGTCTCCACAGAATGGAAGGTGGCCGGATCCCCAACGGAGCTGGCATCAGGCACCAGGCCAGTTGGCAGACCAACTCCCCATTGCAAAGATGCCTGCAGACGTGACATGAAGGCTGGCAACATTAACCACACCCTGTGGAACTCCCTAGCAGATGACCACAGTGCCTGGAGACTGTCAGGTCGTGTGTCCACAGTAGTGACCAGAGGAGGAATGGCCGCTGGGAGAAAAGCAGAGAGAAGGAACACCAGCCAGCGCACCTGCAGCAGCACAACCAGATGCCCTACCTGCAATAAAACATATCTCTCCCATATCGGTCTCTACAGCCACAGCAGGCGCTGTAACTCTTTAGCGGTCTGATGTCATCTCGAATGGAGCACTCTTCTGTTGCCTCTCAAGACAGACAGGTGCCAACAACCAGGGGCAGACTTGGGTCTTTCAAATTTCAGTGGCACCCTATGCAAGGCCAAAATTTAGCACCCTTGCCAAAATTTGCTACCTTCTGTCCTGCCTGTGCACTACGTCATAGTTGCAACACCCTGTGGCAACCGCCTCTGCCAACAACAGAATATATTTTCTGTTATGATTATTATTTTTCAAAATTAGCGATAGTACCTAATATTTCCGTATGCCACTTTGAGACGTCGAAATATTGAACAGTTTGGGAATGGATGTCATTTTGGGGAAGTGCTGGGAGATTCTCACTTCTTTTCTTTGGCAATGTAGCGGCCCACCTGGCGCATTATTTAATTGTGGCTTACAGACCCTCCCTTGACATGCTCCAAAGTCTTGGGGAGGACTGAGGAGAAGCTGAGCAGGTGTATAGCACTTTCGGTGGCGCTTGGGCCTGAGCGCAACACGGAGTTTCTGAATGCCGGAGCAGGCGCGCAGGAGAGTGTCTCCGGGGGGACCCCGCGCCCTTCATTCTGCCCCCCGGGGATCCGGACGGAGCTCCCTCTCTCCGGGCTCGTGGGGAAGCCGGTAGCAGCTCGTGAGCCGCGGCTGAATCACCTCTTGGCCCGCCTCGCCGCCTCTCCGCGCCCGCTCCGCCTCCGCGCCCTTCTCGCTCTTTGCGCCGCGCGCACCTGGGTGGCGTCTCCGGAGGCGCTCTTGTACCTTTTCCCCACCCGCCTGACGTCGAGCTGCGTCCGACCGGCCTGCCTGCCTGCCTCCACCGCATATATATCTCTCGGCAGGGATGGAGCAGGGTTGCCGTACGGGGCTCGCAGCTCGCCAGGCGCCCGTCGAGTCCCTCTGAGCCGGAGCCGCCTTTGCGCGCCTGCCTAGCCGTCCGCCCCCCGACGACGCGCCCGTGCCCTCCATGCGCGCCACGCTCGCCCTCCTCCGGCTGCTGCTCTGGAGCTTAGGTGAGCGGCAGGGCGGGAAGAGGGGCAGGTGGGTGGGCGGGCAATGAGACCCTGGGGTGGGGGGTGTCGGGGTTAACTTCGGGTGACAGACCCAAGACGGTGCGCTTTGGAGAGAGACGCACAGAGAGAGGCGTTTCTGGTACAGCGATGGGAACTTGCTACATTTTCTCTTGCTTCTCACGGCTTGGCTCCAATACCCGACGGCTTCCTGATTCCAGGAGGTTGGCACCATTGTTTTGAAACAGGAGGCACCTGAAAGGCTGCAAGGGGGGGGGGTTCCTCTCCTTTTCCCACGCCCTACACTTTTGATCTGGCCTCGCTAACCCTACTAGATACTTGTTCTTCCCTGTTTTTGAGACATCTTAATTAAAGCTTCCTTTATTTTTCATTTTATTTTTAAACTGCTGTTCCCTCTCGTGCATTTCTGTGTCCTTCCTTCTGTGCTTCATAGATCATAGAAAGGTAATGCTGGAAGACGGAACCACCCAGGGTCATCTAAGTCCAACCTCTCAACACTCAAGGTCCCCCATCCAATTTGAAACCAGACCAGACCCTGCTTAGCTTTGCAAATGTGATGGCAGTTTTATTGCTGCACCATTCGGAGGATGACTAGGATGAGCTCACCTGTTGGTCTCCAAATGTTGTTGGACGCCAGCTCCCATCAGGCCCAACCAGGGTGGCTTGGTGGTCAGGGATGGCAGGGGTTGGGGCCTGACAATGTCCGCAGGTTGCCCATCTCACCCACAGGTGGGACAGTTGGTCCAAAGGTCACCCAGTCTACTGACCTTCTTGGCAGAAGCTGGCTCCAGACTGCCACTGTTTTGTCGGCAGAAACTGGAACACATTCACCGGAAATTTATGTTTCTGTAATTCAGGTGGATTCAGGTGCTCTGTTGCCCTAGTGCTACAATTCACTTTGTAAAAGCACTTTTAGGAAAGTGATGGGGAGGTACACTAAAAAGTGTGGAATGAACGAACAATTAATGGAAAGACGTGTATCTCCCTGCAAGTGAATCTGGGAGAACGCTTATTGTCAAATAAGCACCCCATAAACAATTTGGAATGAATGCTCCGAAAAGACTGGGCATAGTCGTAGCCCCTGTGTGAACTTTGTGCAAGCAGATCAGGATGAATGCTGAATTGAACCGGTTGTCTGAAGAAGCTCGGAGTGGGGAATTTGAACCCAGCTCTTTCCAGTCCAAGTCAGGGGCTAACCATTGCACCTTGAGCTTAGAATTCATATAGCACCTCTTATATCAACAACTCTGCAAGATAGACCAGTATTCCTGTTTCTGTATTGTAGATGGGGGGTGGTTCGAATAACAAAGGGGTTAAAGAATTATGTGGCTTATGGTCTTTATAACATACTTACAACTGAGTAAGTCTGAGCAACCTATGGCTGGGCTTCCTATGAGGAAAGTGCTTATAGGCTTGCAGTCACAATGCACAGTTCCCCCCTTCTAGAAAGGTGCATTCCCTCTCAACTGTAATTTCTGTCTGACCTGGAAGCAGGGGGCAGCCAACTTTGTATACTCCAGATGTTGTGGACTACAGCTTCCATCAGCCCCAATGACGGGGTCAGGAACGATGGGGTTGCAGTCCAGCAAAATCTGGAGGGTCCTGTGTTGGTTATCACTGGAAGGGATAATGAGTAGGTAATATGGGATTAGGCTGATTGGGAGTTCCTCCTGTAGTAATTGCCTGCGCAGGCGTTTTGGTCCAAACCCCTGTGTTAGTCTAAGATGTGGCTAATGTCAGCAACTGTCACTGCTCTGCGCAATGGCAGCTTGTTTGTCTTGGTCGCCGGATGCCTGAGAATCTTCATCTCAGGATGCACTGGATAGCTCAGTTGCTTAGAGCATGGTACTGATAGGGCCGAGGTTGCAGGTTTGATTCCCTATATGGGACAGCTGCAAATTCCTGCATTGCAGGGGGTTGGACTAAGATGATCCTCAGGGTCCCTACAAGTCCATGATTCTTGGACATTAACACCCAATGTGCCATCCTTAGAATGATGGGAGAAATCTATGGGTTAGATGCATCCGCAATCCTGTTTGTGCTCCATCCCCCAAACCAGATATTCTCAGAAGTCGTTTTGAATCAAGTAAGTCCTTTTAATAGGAGCGGGGTTTCCCTCCGAGTTTAGAGTGGTGATTGTTGTAGCTATGGACTTGTGCCTATAGTGGAGAATCTGTTTCTCGTAAGCGGCGCACTGATTTTGTCAAACGGAGCAGAGCAACCCAAAACTTGGGAGGCATTTTTAAAATACCGGGGAAGTATAAATGCATTCGCTCATTAGAAAAGCCGAGAGCTGCTTCTCGGGTGACTCACGGCTGCATAAGACTACATAAGTAATAGCTGCCTAATGTAACTTTCAGGTAAACACCTCTCTGCTGGTTTTGGCTGACTAGTAAGAATGGCATCCTGATTTGTCTCATTTCTCTCTTACAGTGTGCCAGCATGCCGCTGGATCAGGGCTAAATGTGACGGAACAAGAGCAAAACATGCCCATCTTGAGGACGCTTAATACACCTGCAACTGGGGTGTTTTCCTCGGGAGTTGACTACGAAGAGACTGAAGAGGAAGAGGTGGCGATGGCACCTCAATTCCTTGTAGGTGATTCAGCTACAGGTATGTCAAAGTTGAGCTTTTGCCTGTGGAGAGCTCTTTCGTCCTTGGCTGTGGGCCACGTGGAGACGAGCCTGCTGCTGGGATGTGGTGGGTTTTGTGCAAAAAAGCTGCTGGCGTGTGTCTTCTGCAAGGAAATATAGGAGAGAGTTTTTAGTTGGCCAACTTTGATTACAACAGCATGCAAGCTTTAAAGGGTAAAGGGACCCCTGACCATTAGGTCCAGTCATGGCTGACTCTGGGGTTGCGGCGCTCATCTCACTTTATTGGCCGAGGGAGCCAGTGTACAGCTTCCGGGTCATGTGGCCAGCATGACTAAGCCACTTCTGGCGAACCAGAGCAGCGCACGGAAACACCGTTTACCTTCCCGCCGGAGTGGTACCTATTTATCTACTTGCACTTTGATGTGCTTTCGAACTGCTAGGTTGGCAGGAGCAGGGACCGAGCAACGGGAGCTCACCCCGTCGCAGGGATTTGAACCGCCGTCCTTCTGATCGGCAAGTCCTAGGTTCTGTGGTTTAACCCACAGCGCCACCCGTGTCCCTGCATGCAAGCTTTAGGGTCCCACAAATGCTCTGCATTTTTGTTGGTTCTACTTCCTATGATCCAAGCACTTGCAGCTGGGCTCAACTATATATTAGCGAGATGTTAGGAGAGGTCCTAGGGACGCGGGTGGCACTGTGGTCTAAACCACTGAGCCTCTTGGGCTTGCTGATCGGAAGGTCGGCGGTTCGAATCCCCGCAATGGAGTAAGCTCCCGTTGCTCGGTCCCAGCTCCCACCAACCTAGCAGTTCGAAAGCACATCAAAGTGCAAGTAGATAAATAGGTACCACTCCGGCGGGAAGATAAACGGCGTTTCCATGTGCTCTGGTTTCCGTCACGGTGTCCTGTTGAGCCAAAATAGGTTTAGTCCTGCAGGCCACATGACCTGGAAAACTGTCTGTGGACAAACGCCGGCTCCTTCGGCCTGAAAGCGAGATGAGCGCTGCAACCCCATAGTTGCCTTTGACTGGACCTAACCATCCAGGGGTCCTTTACCTTAATTGCAAGGGGTTCCTACATTTTGTCAGGTATCCCATTGTGTAAAAGAAAAGAGAGAAATATTATTATTATTAACCCAAATTTTCAGGACAGGAAGAAATGAATGGATTTCAGTTTCTCCCTCCTTCAAATTCAAGTTTTCATTGTCTCCACAGAATAATATAATACTCAAATTCCAGTGCTTTGGAAAAAAAAGTGTTTAGTGGTACTCTTATTTTGACTCAAGAAAATCCCCATTTTATAGTTCAAACTGGGCAAAATAAAGACAGTAAATGGACAAAAGTACAAAGATTCACAAAACGTTTAGGGGTATCCGTACCCCTGCATCCCTCCAGAAAAAAGCACTGTCAAACTCAATAATTCGCTTTTCACTCACCAGTTAGCATTAATTTACACTGCTGTAAGTTAATTACCCTATAACATAGCAACAATGGGCCTTAGACATATTTTCCCATAAGTCACACCAAGTGAATATGAGGCTAAGTAGAAACTTGCCCTGCACTACCACAACCCAGTAGGATTTCCTTCCTTTAATATTACTAAACCTTTTAAATTTGAGGTTTTCAAAATCTGAACAATGTGATTGTATCTTGGGTTGCAGTTCTCCTGCAACCGCTGTGGGTGAGAGTTATTTGGAATATTATTTAATTAGTGAAACCTGGGTATCAATCTGATAAGCTTTCCCAGTGCATAGTTGCAATTAAGTTTTGGGATGGCAGCAGAATGTGTTGTTTGTAAATAGAGCTTTAAATTTCTGGCACACTCAAAGCATAAGCTATTTCTTCTGCTATATGGCAGGTGATCTGGGCTGCTTCTGGTTCATACTCCTTTTGCATCTGCTTGGCCATAAGTCCATTTAAATAATAATCTCTGAAACTTGTATTTAAATATACATTTCAAAACACATTTCCTAGCCAAGTACATACTCTTCAAATGTACTGTATTTTTCGCTCTATAAGACGCACCAGACCACAAGACGCACCTAGTTTTTGGAGGAGGAAAACAAGAAAAAAAATATTCTGAATCTCAGAAGCCAGAACAGCAAGAGGGATCGCTGCGCAGTGAAAGCTGCAATCCCTCTTGCTGTTCTGGCTTCTGGGATTGCTGCGCAGCCTGCATTCGCTCCATAAGACGCACACACATTTCCCCTTACTTTTTAGGAGGGAAAAAGTGAGTCTTATAGAGCAAAAAATACGGTATTTTTATTCTCTTTTGAGCCAAGAACTGGGGCTGTAACACTCAAGAACTTCAGCAGATAGTAGATAACAAAATTTCCATCTGTACATTATTCTGGGAAGTGCAGATGTTTGAACTGGAATTCACCAAGAGTGAATTTTTCTGCAGTACACTGCCCCAATGTGTTCACATTCTACTGCTGAGCCAATGCATTTAAACCAGGCATCCCCAAATTCGGGCCCTCCAGATGTTTTAGGACTACAATACCCATCATCCCTGACCATCCTGTTAGCTAGGGATGATGGGAGTTGTAGTCCCAAAACTGCCTGAATTAAGCCCTTCAGCCTTTGGTTCAGAAGCAGTCTCATTCTTTGGCTCACAGTTGAGCCTTTAACCCTGAGAGCTGACAGCGTTGTTGCGTTTGAGTTTTAAGGAAATGTTGGTTTAGGAGCAATATTTTGCCTTCCTAACGCTCATGCCATTTCTAAGACTCTTGAGGTAACTCTGTTGGCACTTTTTCGAAAAGGACTGTTGTTGGTTCCAGAAAATAAAGGAGCATAGCTACGCTGCAAACTTATAGTGGTTGCACAAGCCTTGGCTGCCTCCAAAGAATCCTGGGAATTGCTGGCTCCATTGTGGAGTCAAGGGGCAGGATAAAACTATTTAAGCAAGAGACACTTGGAGGGCTGTTGAGAATTTTGCAAGCCATCGTAGGAACATCTGAAGCAGCCTAGTACTGAATCAGTCCATTGGCCCATCTAGCTTAGTTTGTTGACCAACCTGAAATCCCACTGGAGCCAGTGTGATGTAGTAGTTAAGAGCGGTGGACTCGTAATCTGGTGAACCGGGTTCGCGTCTCTGCTCCTCCACATGCAGCTGCTGGGTGACCTTGGGCCAGTCACACTTCTCTGAAGTCTCTCAGCCCCACTCACCTCACAGAGTGTTTGTTGTGGGGGAGGAAGGGAAAGGAGAATGTTAGCTGCTTTGAGACTCCTTAAAGGGAGTGAAAGGCGGAATATCAAATCCAAACTCCTCCTCCTCTTCTTCTTCTTCTTCTTCTTCTTCTTCTTCTTCTTCTTCAGAATAAAGGTACCATAGGAGCCAGTCCTCAGGGCTGAGGTCTCTTTGGCCATCCCTCAAAAATATTTGAGGGGGCCAAGCATGGTGTACATGCACAGCATCACGTGATTGATTATGTGGGGTGGGGCTTACCTCCCTCTCCCCCAAATATCTTATTCAAGTTGTCACCCCTAAAAGGTACAGTCAACAAACTAAGTTCTTACTCTGGAATGTGTCCATGAATAGCAGCTTGAGGGGGGTATGGACAACAAATTTCCATAGTCTCCAAAGGAAACCATAAAGTGGGCCATCAACGCTCTCAGCAATTTTCAAGTACCCGTATTTTTCGCTCTATAAGACGCACCAGACCACAAGACGCACCTAGTTTTTGGAGGAGGAAAACAAGAAAAAAAATATTCTGAATCTCGGAAGCCAGAACAGCAAGAGGGATCGCTGCACAGTGAAAGCAGCAATCCCTCTTTCTGTTCTGGCTTCTGAGATAGCTGCACAGCCTGCATTCGCCCCATAAGACGCACACGCATTTCCCCTTACTTTTTAGGAGGGAAAAAGTGAGTCCTATAGAGCAAAAAATACGGTAATCCAGGTTGGGGGTGAAGAACCACCAAGGTAGAACATACAAGGTTTGGTGATCATGGAGCCTAGCTGGTCTTTTGTCTTTTGACAGCCACCTGCCATGGCTCAAAGTGTCATTCGTAATGCTAATTGCAATGTAGCTGTCATGTGCTGAGCAATGTGTGCCGAAAGGATGCTACGGTGTCAGTTTGTGTGCCTGACAGGGAGTTTGTACTCCGTCCTGTTTCTCTGATGAGTGTCTCTGTATGATGTCTTCTAAACAAGTTTGTCATTCGTATGGTAGGTTTTTAGAGGTACACCTAGGTGGTTGTGTGTTTTTTTTACCTCAGGCTGAGAGAAAATGACTGACCCAACGTACTTCAGAGTTGCTGTGAGGGGAGGGGAGAGCTATGCGCATTGCTTAAGTTTCTTGGAGGAACAGCATGATTAAAATGCAATAAACACACCTACAACATGAAGTCTAGCAAGTCTTGCTGATCATGACCTAAAAAAACAAAAAAGGCCGTCTAGTTATGTTTTGTGTTCTTAGTACAGTGGTACCTCGGGTTACAGACGCTTCAGGTTACAGACTCTGCTAGCCCAGAAATAGTACCTCAGGTTAAGAACTTTGCTTCAGGATGAGAACAGAAATTGTGCGACGGCAGCGGGAGGCCCCATTAGCTAAAGTGGTACCTCAGGTTAAGAACAGTTTCAGGTGAAGAATGGACCTCAAGAACGAATTAAGTTCTTAACCCGAGGTACCACTGTACCAGCAAAATGGAAAATTCAGGAGGTGATCCTGAAAGTCAGTTGTGTGTTAACTGATGTTTTTGCACAGGCGTGTATCGGAGGGTTGGGTGGGAACGATTTAAGAAAGTCTTTCCGTCCATTAATGGCACATGTTCATTAGCACACCGCAGCAGAATCCCACAAGCCTACATCTTTAAACTGGGAGATGGCTGTGAAATCCTCTTTAACAATTCCTCCTTGGCTGTCTGCTCAGTCCTTTGAACCCCTCTGAAATGCAAATATCTTTGGGGTTAACCATATTACCACACTTCATTAGACTTGCTAAGCATAATTAGTCGACACTACTTAATTTGCCCTTCATGCTGAGCAGTAATGTTTATGATAAAATTAGTCAACAACAGTTTTTACTAGCTTGGGCTTTATTGCATTTGGGAATCAAACTCGAAGCTATATTAAAAGGACTTTTGCACATTGACTTTCTAAAATGTGTGTCACATCAACATAAAAAGCAGAGGCAAGAATTGTTTCACATCGGTGTCAGCTTCTTTCCTGGTCATATGTTACTTCTGGAGTGTGAGGTATGTACTAGGTCTAAAAATAGAAAGGGAAGCACTTCCTGAACACCAAGAGTTAAATATCTGGATCAGGCACCTTGGCCTTAATGTACAAAAATAAATAAATCCTGGTTTCCTAGACTCTGTTCCTTGAGTTTCTTCTGGCACAAAGTTGTCTCCTCTAAAGACATAAGCATCTTTTGTTCATCTTCTTTTGTTGCTGCTGCTGCTGCTGCTTTTAAAAAATGCACCTAAAACCTCTTCCACACAAGAATATTTTCAGGGCCATCTTCAATTTAAAGCAGGATGCCCAATTGCTATCTTGTTAGAATAATGTGTATTCTAGACAGGTCTCTAGCATGAAGGCCCTTTGTTGATCTTTGGACTTGCAGCCAAAGTGGTGTACTAGTTTGAATGGGAAACTGAGGTTGAAATCCTACTGTCCTTGGCTACATCTCCCTCCCTCTTCCCCCATTTCAGTATGATCTAATCTGCAGTTAAAATACCACCCTGAGCTCATTGAAGCAAGGGCAGATAACTCCTCAATGCAAATAAACACTTTTTTTTCCCCTTTCCCCTTTCCAGTTCCATTTGAACTTAAAAAGCCAGCAAAATCAGAGAGCGGGAAAAAGAACTCAAACAAACCAAAAAGAAAGGGAAACAACAAGGGGAAGAAAAACAAGAAGAAAACTCCATGTGAAGCAGAGTTTAAAAACTTCTGTGTACATGGGGACTGCAAATATTATGAACATCTTCGAAAAGCCACGTGCAAGTAAGTTGACCTACTGCCTTTGAGGGCTATCCTTCTGAATCCTGGACTTTTGCACAGAATTGATTGATTGATTGATTGATTGATATACTGCCCACCATCATAAGATCTCAGGGCGGTTCGCAGAATAAAATACAGGATAAAAACAAAAACAGAAGGCGTTTAAAGCCACAGCCCTGAGCGCAGAGCTATTAAATGGGCAGCAAAACATAGAAAACACAGATCTGTTGATAAATAGTTTACCGTTTTTTTAAAAAAAAAGTGGGTGGGAGAATTATTGAGAAAGTTTGAGAACAAAGCTCTTATCAACCCACAGTCAACCTGCTAGGCTGGATTAACCATGAAGCAAAATAAGCCCATCAAGGGAAGAGGGGTCACTACAGAAATTTCCCATTGCTGTTTTTTGTTAACATTAATGGTCACAAATTTCCCAGCTGAGCATTTGTTTTCTCAGCTGAAGTATATTAAAATTCCCAACAGAAAACCATGCCACAAGGCAGGCTGGACGCCTTATCTCTGCTAAGCATAGAAGGAGATGTGTTGCGTTAAGATGAGTTTTGAGGATCCAATCAAAGGCTTTGCAATTAGAAAAAAGCAGGAGAAAATAGTGATGTGGGTGGCGCTGTGGGTTAAACCACAGAACCTAGGACTTGCTGATCAGAAGGTCAGCGGTTCGTATCCCCATGACGGGGTGAGCTCCCGTTGCTCAGTCCCTGCTCCTGCCAACCTAGCAGTTCGAAAGCACATCAAAGTGCAAGTAGATAAATAGGTACCACTCCAGCAGGAAGGTAAACAGCATTTCTGTGTGCTGCTCTGGTTTGCCAGAAGCGGCTTAGTCATGCTGGCCACATGACCCAGAAGCTGTACGCTGGCTCCCTTGGCCAATAAAGCGAGATAAGTGCCGCAACCCCAGAGTCAGCCATGACTGGACCTAATGGTCAGGGGTCCCTTTACCTTTATACAAAAATAAACATTATTTCCCATATTACTGCAGGTTTTGTTTCATTTCGAAAAATGAAATGGTATTTCACGGTTTATCATTGTTTATATTTTGAATTGGATATATATCTGGGCACCGAAATCTTTTAAGTGCTTGAAGCTTTGAAAGGTCTTAATCCGACCTTACCTTCCTGGTCAAAGGTGTCACAGAAACCTGGATATGGGTGCTGCTGCCTGGTCTCTGCATTGATTGGAATGAGCCCAAGGCCATTGTTAGAATAACTGTGGTTTTTATACATGTATTCTAAATGAAGAATAGGAACGGATGGGTTCCTTTCTGAGCAACCTTTTGTGGGCCAAAGGTTGGGGGGGGAGGCAGGACCAATGGCCAAAATGGGTGGGGCAAAAATTGTACAGAAGTCTAGTTTCTGCATACGGTAACAGCTGCCTCTCGTATCTTCCATTCAGGCAGGTGAAAGGTATTGCTGGAATTTGAGAGCACATAACTAGCCGAAGCAAATACGTTTGGGGTGCAGAGTCAGGCCGGTGAGGGGTGTGTCCTCGGGAAAATTCCAGAACATCTAGAACAATAATGAGTTATGTAAGCTGCCCAATGGCAGGAGAGGGTTCCCAGGGACAAAGGTACCCAAACTTTGGTGGGCTTTGCTCACTGTCTTGTTAGCACTTCTGATTACCGCATTTTTCGCTCTATAGGACGCACCGGACCATAGGAGGGGGAGAACGGGGGGGAATTCTCCCCCTCTCTGCTTAGCGCCCCTTCAGTGAAGCGGCAGGAGAAATGGAGCCCCTTCCATTTCTCCTCCCGCTTCACTGAAGGGGCGCTGCGCAGAGAGGGAAAACTGTGCAGCGCCTCTCCAGCGAAGCCTGGAGAGCAAGAGGGATCGGTGTGCACCGACCCCTCTCGCTCTCCAGGCTTCAGGCAGCTATCCACAAGCCTTTGGAGCGCAGCGGGAACTCCTGCTGCGCTCCGGGGGCTTCAGGCGGCTTCAGCGAAAGCAACGCGAAGCCTCCGGAGCATGGGGGGACCTCTCCCTCTGCGCTTCAGAGGCTTTGCATTGCTATCGCTGAAGCCAAGGAACCTGCATTCGCTCCATGAGACGCACACACATTTCCCCTTAATTTTTGAAGGGGGAAAAGTGCGTCTTATAAAGCAAAAAATACGGTACCGTATTTTTCGCTCTATAAGACGCACCAGACCACAAGACGCACCTAGTTTTTGGAGGAGGAAAACAAGAAAAAAAATACTCTGAATCTCAGAAGCCGGAACAGCAAGAGGGATCGCTGCACAGTGAAAGCAGCAATCCTTCTTGCTGTTCTGGCTTCTGGGATAGCTGTGCAGCCTGCATTCGCTCCATAAGACGCGCACACATTTTCCCTTACTTTTTAGGAGGGAAAAAGTGAGTCTTAAAGAGCAAAAAATACAGTAATTCACTGTGTCACCAGCAAGTCCTCTTTGCCATGTACGTTTTAAACGATTGTGGCATTCATAAGCTGCACAATGGGCCGCCGAACTCGTAATTTGCTGATGAAAGAATGAAGTACGCTTTTCCTGGAACATCCCAGCCAAACTAATTGCAGCTTAGCCTACAGCTGGCAAACTCCTCACTAGCGCTGTTGGATCTGACAACATTACATAGTGAGATCCTGCTCCTCAGGCCCCAGCATCTTACAATGTGGTGCGGATGAGCTGCAGGAGTTCTTATCCGAATGGCTTGCCTTGGTGTAAACTCTGAAGCGAGCACTCGAAAAACTGTGCGGCTAAATTTTGTGTGTGGTCAATTTTCAGGTGCCACTCGGATTACTTTGGCGAACGTTGCGTCGAGCAGTTTTTGAAGACACACAGTACCGATGGCAACGAAAGTTTCACATCCACAATACTTGCGTCGACGGCTGGTTTGCTCACCTTTGCTGCCATTGTGATCGTTGTAACATTGCTGTAAGTAGTACAATTTCGGTCCTCCGGTTTGTTGAAGAAACCTAGTAAATTGGTGGCAGAAGCACACACAATATTTCACCTACATACACATTCTCCTGTAGTCCTTTTCTGAGTGCATTATAGGAATAGGGTGTTGGTTTGCACTACAAGTTTGTCCTAAAGTATCCCATATGAATATAATCTGAATCAATGATCTAAGCAAACAATCTGGTGAACGCTCTTGTAAGTTCAACATTTCAGAAACTTTTAAATTGAAAAGCAGTCTGCAGATGGTGTCCTTCAGGTCTCCAGGAACTGGTCAAAGGTTACATCTTCCTAACCTTTAAAATGTAAAGCTCTGGAACAAGCTTAATTTAAACAAAGGTTGGGTACATTGTTGTTGTTGTTTAGTCTTTTAGTCGTGTCCGACTCTTCGTGACCACATGGACCAGAGCACGCCAGGCACTTCTGTCTTCCACTGCCTCCCGCAATTTGGTCAAACTCATGCTGGTAGCTTCGAGAACACTGTCCAACCATCTCATCCTCTGCCGTCCCCTTCTCCTTGTGCCCTCCATCTTTCCCAACATCAGGGTCTTTTCCAGGGAGTCTTCTCTTGTCATGAGGTGGCCAAAGTATTGGAGCCTCAGCTTCACGATCTGTCCTTCCAGTGAGCACTCAGGGCTGATTTCCTTAAGAATGGAGAGGTTTGATCTTCTTGCAGTCCATGGGACTCTCAAGAGTCTCCTCCAGCACCATAATTCAAAAGCATCAATTCTTTGGCGATCAGCCTTCTTTATGGTCCAGCTCTCACTTCCATACATCACTACTGGGAAAATCATAGCTTTCACTATACGGACCTTTGTTGGCAAGGTGATGTCTCTACTTTTGGATGGGTACATGGTGGTCACCAAATAGCTGGGGGCGGATAATGGGTTCAATGTGGGATGGTGTCATGAGCTAGTGTTGCATTTGTAAACCATGGACCCTTGTGATATCATGAGGAGCGGCCCACACTCCTGTGCCGCACAATCTGAGGGGCCCCCAGTAGGAGGACGGATGGGATTCAGGCAATATCCCTCAATCACACCATGCCAGCCAATGCCTGGCTTAGTGTGCCATCTGCATAGGTTTACTGCATGCGATAGCATAAAGCAATGCCCCACTCATGGGGAAAAGGGGGTTTAGTGGCAATCGCACTGCTGCACTTTATATTGTTCATAGTAAGAATTCACCTTAGATGCTGCCTCGCCCAGTTTAATCTACAAACAGTAAGGCAGGACATTCCGGCTAATTCAAAACCCTAAAAATGCACAGCTCAGTGCTAATAATTTAGGATAAATCAACAGTTTATAGCCAGTTTCCATAGAGGCCAGCAAATGATACCATTTGCAGGTACCCGTCAATGCTTTTTTACTAGGCAAACAAAGTATGCACAAATGGATCTGTCCATGGTATCTGTTGCTGGCAGCGATGTTGCAAACTAGCCGAATGTTCTTGAACTAAGAACAGAAATGCAAAGCCAATTCACTGCCTCCCAAAGTCTCGCTTCTGTATATATCACATTCCACCAAGGGACTCAAGATGGCCGACATGATTCTCTGCCTCCCCTTTTTACCTTCATGAGAGCCTTGTGAGGGTAAGCTGAGAGCAGCTGGCCAGCCTGCTGGATGCTACACCTGTTTGTGGAGGGGCCTTGAAGGGTCAGCCTGGATGGTGGTTAGCTGAGATAAATAGATCAGGAACTCATCGTTGACACGAAGTGAAACCTCAGAGGCCCAGTCCACCTTCTGCTGATTCCATGATTGAGGATCCTTGGTGCTCATATAGAACATGATGTTATCTAGACGGAGGCTTCTAGAAGAATCCTTCCTTACCCTATCCCAATGGGGAGAGTTGCACAAACCTCAGTACACCTACTATGAAGGGCCTTCTCATTCTTTTCTCACCCCTTGCAGCAGATTTGGACCACGCAGTAGGACATTTCGCAGGAATTAATGCTTGGACTCTGTTAGTCCCTTCTCTACCCCCTACCCTGAATTCCTTAAAAGGGTTTGTATACAGTGGTACCTTGGTTTACAACCATAATCCGTTCCGGAGGTCCGTTCGTAAACCAAAACAGGTTGTAACCCAAGGCGCGCTTTCGCCAATGGGCCCTCCCCCCCAAAAAAATTGTTTGTAATCCAAAAAAATGGGTTGTAATCCAAAAAAAGTTCGCAAACCGGGACACGCACTTCCGGGTTTGACGTGTTTGTAATCCATAACGTATGCAAACCAGACTGTTCGCAAACCAAGGTACCACTATATTTTAATGCACAGTAAACTGAAAGTACACACGCTGTTTCCTAATGGCCTTCTCAGAATTAGACCATGCACGAGGCAAGTTGCTTTGTCTCCAGATATAATAGGCAATGCTACGCTTGGATTTCAGATCACCGGAGTTTGCGAAAGGGGTGTTTTGTATACTTTTGCAGGGGGCAATCTCGGTTTTTCGTGACGGATTCCAATGTTGTTACTTCACAGGGTAAGGAAAAAGTGTTCTGTGTGCGATGAAAAGGAAGAAAGGAGAAGGCTCCGGCAAGAAAACGGAAGTTCCAGCAATGATGTTTAAAGGGAACTGAAGGTAAGCATTGCCTCTCAATATGCTTTCTTCTCCAAAGGTTTTAATTCTCCAAGAAACAGTCAAAAATCCCTCTTCGTAGAACTGACTGGGGATAGCATCGCTTTGGGATAATAGTGCCTTTCAGGAGAAGAGGAATCACACCCCAAATATATTGCAAATCTGGCTATGCATCATATTTGGGAAAGGGCCTTAGCTTGGTAGTAGAGCATTTGCCCAGTATGTCCCCTGAACCAGATGGGCCAATGGCTTTCTATATATCCCTATCATCTGTATCAGAACTTCTACGGCGTAGTGACTAAGCAACATCTTGCCGCATCTATCTGTTCACTAGGTGGGTTAAAGGAAAACACTGCATCTTAGCCCATTTCCACCCATACCCTATTAATACCCACCAACAACATCACAGGGCGACTGTTCTAAGAATGACAACAAAGTATAGTATGCCAACAAAATTCTGAAATTCTGTATTTCCGAAATGATCACAGGGGCAGCATTTTGTCTGTTTTCAAACTTCGGGCAAGTGCTAAATTGTGCGTGGTGCATTAATTGGCTCTGTAGGTGTGAACCGATGATGCTTCCATTTCGAGCCATCCTGTTCCCTCTCTTTGGCTGCCATCCTGTTCATATCTACCGGGGAGTAGCCCGCAGTAAACACAGTGGGACTCGCTTCCAAAGCAAAATGTTTGAGGTTGCCCTGTTTGGTTTGGGGAAGTGAGTATAGAGGCAGACTATTTTCCAGTTCCACTGTCCGTTATGCCAGGGTTAAGTGCAGTGGGTAGCGTTTCCTTGAAAGCATGGACCCTGCAAGAGATCAGAATCGGGCTCTACATTTGCAGGCATTCTCTAGGGAGCTGTCAGATGCAGAGCTGTTATTGTCAGGTCAATATGAAGGCTCTGTCTAATTACACAATCCATCCAGGAGCTGTCTTACACTGCCTTTAAATAAGTTGGAGTTCTTGTTATTAAATATACCAAGAACTCAGGCCAATGTAAGTTTCCTTCATGGCCTAGGACCCTCGTACCTATGGGACCGCCTCTCCCGGTACGCCCCACGGAGGACCTTAAGGTCCATAAATAACAACACCCTAGAGGTGCCGGACCCTAAGGAAGTCAGATTAGCCTCAACCAGAGCCAGGACCTTTTCAACACTGGCTCCGGCCTGGTGGAACGCTCCGTCTCATGAGACCAGGTCCCTGCGGGATCTGATTTCTTATCGCAGGGCCTGTAAGACAGAGTTGTTCCGCCTGGCCTTTGGCTTGGAATCAATTTGATTCCTTCCCCCTCTTTCTCTTTCTTCTTCTGTGTTGGAACTCCAATTTGGGGACTTCCCTGGCTTTTTTCTGGCCTGTGTAGGACCAGTCTGGATAGTTAGCCTTGGTGAAGACTTGACGTTTTTATCCCCAAAAAAGTTTTTGATTGAGTTTCCACTGAAATGGGGCTGCCTTTTAATGTTTTAGTGCTGTATTTTAATCTTGTTTTTCAAACTGTATTTCAATCCTTTGTTTTTATATATGGTGTTAGCTGCCCTGAGCCCGGTCTTGGCTGGGGAGGGCGGGGTATAAATTATTATTATTATTATTATTATTATTATTATTATTATTATTTAGTCCAACACTGTGAGAACAGGGTGCTAGACTAAATGGGCCGTTGGCATGATTCAGCAGGCTCTTCTTATGTCCACATGGCCCACTAAATCCTGTTTTTTAACTCTTTGGAAACACTTCTGGTAGCTCCCAGCTTGGCACGATGATGTTCCCTGTCGAAGCTATTACTCAGTTCTTGCCTCTTCTAGGAGATGCAGCTGGAAAGGCTGTCGCTGAAGCACACGCCCTTCCGTGGAGGCACGTCGGAGAAGGTCAAACTCAGAACCTCAGAGGAGCACGTTGAGAGCCTGAGACCTTGTCTGCCCAACATGGAAGATGCCGCAAGGAGGGCTTTTGCACGCCCTTGGCCTCTCTGCAGCTGCCAGAGGATGTCAAACAGGCCGCCACGCTTGCAGGAGTCAACATCTGCCGTTTCCACAGCCGCTGGAGAGCTGCCCCACCCTGTTCAGTACCGGAAGACGACCCAAAGACCGTGTGTGCGTTAATCTGTCACCAGAGAACTCTCGGCAGGTAGTTTACAGAGACGTCTGTGTGCAAGGGGGAGAATTTAGGGAGGTGTTCATGCCTGCATAGAGAGATGGGTTTCTTCTTTTTCTTCTTCTTCTTCTTCTTCTTCTTTGTGTTGTTACTGACTTCCACACACACACACCCCTCGAGGTGAAAGGAGGGGAAACAGAGCAGGCTTTGAAATAAGTCTCAGGTTGCTTAAAGAGCTCTGTGACTCCCAGCCTGGGATAAACTGCACAGGGTGTGCCTCTCTTCTCATACACCTCCACCTGTTGTCATCTTGAGAGCTCCTGCTTGCTGCCTGAAAAGGTGGCAGACCAGAAATGTCACTGCTTTCTACTTTCTGTTCTGGATGTCTCGCCGTGGAGGTGCACGAGCTGTTTCCAAGTTTGCTTCTTTCTTTCTTTCTTTCTTTCTTTCTTTCTTTCTTTCTTTCTTTCTTTCTTTCTTTCTTAAACTCTCACCTAAGAGTTGCTTGTTGCTGCTGTCTCAGAGTTTGTCTAATCCCAGCAGTGGCATAGCATGGGGCTCAAAATTCTTTGGGGCACAAAATTTCAAAAGGGGGGGGGGAATGAAGTAGTCATCATAAATGAAAAATAGGATGCCCTCCCCCTCACACAGAAGATCTCCCAATGTTTGTGTGGGCAGACTGAAGGGTGGATTTGGGCGACGGCCAATCGCTAGGGTGCCCTCTGCACGGGCTTTAGAAAGAGGCCCATTCCTAACCAACCCCCTGCCCCACCCTCTGCCATGCTCGACACTCTCAGGGCACCACTGCTGCCACTTGGGTAAGTTGCCGAACTATTGCCCCTTCATTCCAGCCTATTGGTGGGTGGTGCTGGGGAAACTTGCTTTGCCCTGGACTCTGGCAACACATGCTATGCCACTAAATCCCAGTCAGCTGTAGTGTGCCTAAGCTAGAGTATCGCTGAACCGTCCCTTTAGCGTTCAGAAGCCCAGGGCTGCTGTTTTCGCAACCTGTGCTGTGTAACAATCGAGACGGCTGGGATGTGGAAATAGCACTAAAGGCCACCTATTGCAGTTCTCCTCAAAGCACAGATTGTTCTGGATTTAAGTAGGTTGGGAAGTGAATTCTAAATCAGCAGTCTGGTGGTTCCCGTAATCCTTGGAGAGCTTGCCATAAGAGAGGTCATAAAATGAGTCTGTTTTGCCAGTCCTGTTGCCTTGCTGCTTCTCCCTTGAAGTCTGGATCAGGTCTGGGGGTTCTGTGGCTCTCCCAATGTTTCTGGAGCTCTTCATCAGGGGCAGCCAACTTGGCCCAAGGTCAGGAATGATGCAAGTTATGTTCCATCAACATCTGGAGGAAAACAGGTTCCGCCCCCCGCTGCCCTAGATCCTTCTCCCACCTCAAGTTAAGAATAAATACTTGTGCCAATGCAGTAACAGCGGCCCCTTCTCAGTACCCTTTGGAATACGGGGGCAAATGCATGCTAGAATATACCCATTTATGGCAAAGGTGAATGATGAGCAATCATATAAGGCAACTTATAATATTTTGATGCAACAGTTATGGGGGAAATGGATTGCTTTGGCACACAGACTTATCGACGCTCACCACCTTCAGTGGAGTTCTTTGTTTTGTTTTTAGAAATGTCAATCTTCCTGCATTGAACAGTGGCATGGCATATCTTAAGCAGTCTAATTGTGTGTAAACTTGCAACCACCTGCTATTACTTTATGCTTCCTGCAAAGCTGCATCTTAATTAACTCAAGCTACAGTCCTATATATTATTTCCTGTAAGCCCCACTGAACATTCTGGGATTTGCTTCTGCAAGGGACTGTACCCTTAAGTTACACTGGGTTGTGTGTATAAGGTTGTTGTGACCGAAAAGGAAAACCTGAGCGACACAGTTTGATTTTACATTAGTGTAAATATGTATACGTGGAGAAGTTTTGTTTTTTAATATTGTAAATAATGTGTTCCTGTATTTAATATGTTCGCACAACTTGACATGACCTATTTATTTTATTAAACTTTTTTACATAAATGGAAAATAAGCGAGTTGAGTCATAACAAATTTGCATACTACTTGGCACTAGATTCTGAATGATTACGATTGCCTAAATTACTGGCTGGCACAATAACAACAGGCTATTATAATGCTCTACAATTCTTCATTGGTTTCATTTCTTCATGGCTTTCCCCAGAGAATTTTAGAGACTCTGATTTGGTGAGAGTGCTAGATGCCTAAAGGTAAAGGGACCCCTGACTGTTGGGTCCAGTCGCAGACGACTCTTGGGGTTGCAGCGCTCATCTCACTTTATTGGCCGAGGGAGCCGGCAGACAGCTTCCGGGTCATGTGGCCAGCATGACTAAGCCGCCTCTGGCGAATCAGAGCAGCGCACGGAAACGCCGTTTACCTTCCCACCGGAGCAGTACCTATTGATCTACTTGCACTTTGACGTGCTTTCGAACTGCTAGGTTGGCAGGAGCAGGGACCGAGCAACGGGAGCTCACCCCATCGTGGGGATTCGAACCGCTGACCTTCTGATCAGCAAGTCCCAGGCTCTGTGGATTAGACCACAGCACCACCCATGCCCCATGTTAGATGCCTACTGCTCCTCTTTTTCCTTGCCTTCCCCGGTTTCCTGGGGCAAGAGAGGCAACTACCCACACCTTCCATTTAAATCACATAAAAGGTAAAGGTACCCCTGCCCGTACGGGCCAGTCTTGACAGACTCTAGGGTTGTGTGCTCATCTCACTCTAAAGGCCGGGGGCCAGCGCTGTCCGAAGACACTTCTGGGTCATGTGGCCAGCGTGACAAAGCTGCTCTGGCGAGCCAGCGCAGCACACGGAAACGCCGTTTACCTTCCCGCTAGTAAGCGGTCCCTATTTATCTACTTGCACCCGGGGGTGCTTTCGAACTGCTAGGTTGGCAGGCGCTGAGACCGAGCAACAGGAGCGCACCCCGCCACGGGGATTCGAACCGCCGACCATGTGATCGGCAAGTCCTAGTCGCTGAGGTTTTACCCACAGCGCCACCCGCCATCCCTTAAAGCACATAGCTTCCTCCAAAAATCCTGAGAATTGTAGTTTAAGGGTGCTGAGAATTGTAACTATGTGTGGTACCCACAGTTCCCAAGGTTCTTGGGGAGGGGGCAGCCATGCCTCTAAAAGTGGTATAAATGTGTGGTGTAGATCTCAGAGTCAATAAACCAGATTGTAGTGTACAGATATGCCCTTAATTCAGTGTGCCTGTGGAAGCGTGGAAGCCCTGACCTGGGAGCCACAGAGAGACTTCCCAACTTGTTCAGGCTTTAGCAAACCCTAAAGCTATCGGGACGTGGGTGGCGCTGTGGTCTAAACCACTGAGCCTTGGGCTTGCTGATCAAAAGGTTGGCAGTTCGAATCCCCGTGATGGGGTGAGCTCCCGTTGCTCAGTCCCTGCTCCTGCGAACCCAGCAATTTGAAAGCATGCCAAAAAGTGCAAGTAAATTAATAGGTACCACTCCGGCAGGAAGGTAAATGGCGTTTTCGTGCGCTGCTCTGGTGTCGGTGTTCCGTTGCGCCAGAAGGGGCTCCCAGAGTCATTCGCGACTGGACTTAACTGTCAGGGGTCCCTTTAAAGGTAAAGGTAAAGGGACACCTGACCATTAGGTCCAGTCATGACCGACTCTGGGGTTGCGGCGCTCATCTCGCTTTGTTGGCCGAGGGAGCCGGTGTTTGTCCACAGACAGCTTCCAGGTTATGTGGCCAGCATGACTAAGCTGCTTCTGGCGAACCAGGGCAGCACACGGAAAAGCCGTTTACCTTCCCGCTGGAGCAGTACCTATTTATCTACTTGCACTTTGATGTGCTTTCGAACTGCTAGGTTGGCAGGAGCAGGGACCGAGCAACGGAGCTCGCCCGTCACGGGGATTCGAACCGCCGACCTTCTGATCGGCAAGTCCTAGGCTCTGTGGTTTAACCCACAGCGCCACCCGTGTCCCCAGGGGTCCCTTTACTAAAGCTATTGAACAGACGCAAGCAAATCACCATAACATTTCCGCTTCCTTAAAGATCCCACCAGTTTGCCAATTTCTGTGCAATTAGATTGCCTCTCCTGATCACCAGGCTGAATCCACTCCAGAGGAGGAGGAGCTGTAGGTTCACAAATCACGTAAAGATGCCTCAAAGCAAATTCACCCCAGAGGTTCTGATTTGCAAGCCCCACAGGAAATGAGTGGGGGTGTTGGTGCCCTTGCAAAGCTCAGGTTCATTTTGTGCAAGAGAGAGAACGTCCACTATAAACTCAAGAACATGACTGGCAGCCAGTCCGCCGTTGCGAAGCAATTTAGGGAGGAGGAATCGCACCTAACCCATCTCTTGACTTTGAGTTTTATCGTTGCGGAGCGAAACTTCCCCAGAGCCATTATTCTGACACTGCTCCTAGTCCCGCCCTGCATCTCATGAGAATGACACTGTACAATGGTACACCAGCCCTCCCTCTCTTGAAAGAGCAAGTAGAACAGGAAAAGCAGAATGTGGGCTGCCTATTATAGTGTGTCAACAGGGTTGTCTCAAGGAAGCCACAAATAGCATCTAGAATTAATGGTTGTCACCCTCCTGTTTTGGTCATACTGGCTTGAGGTCGTCTCCTGTTTATAGAGGGTGGTAGCCATCGTGGGGAAGTCGACCTTTTAAGGTTGCTGCTCTCCATGACTCTCAGTTATTCTAATAGAATGGATTCATGCTTGTGGATTGTAGCCTGAATTCTTCATGGCGACCCTCTGGAGTTGTATGTTTGCTTTTTCTTAAATTCATCATTGGTTACATCTTCCAAACCGGTCAACTGACCCACAGTGGATTGCACCAAAGTTCCCACTGCCATTTTCTTTCTTTTTTAAGCATCAAAGGGGATGTGTGGTCTTCAAGATGTTGATGGACTCCAACTCCCAACATCCAGAACTGTTAGCTATTTCTGCTGAGGCTGATGGGAGTTGTAGTCCGGAAACATCTCAAAAGCCACAGGGGTAGAGGCAGCGAGTCACTGGTTGATGTCCAGTAAAACACACAGCACCTGATGGACCTTGGTCAGAGCCAGCAATGCAGTTCTGATAACCAGGTAGACATAACCTTTCAAGATCAATTACAGCAACTGCTTCTCCCATGGTGTAAGCCCACCTGCTCTCACCTCTCGCTTGACAGATGCACTCTGCAATATACCGTATTTTTTGTTCTATAAGACTCACTTTTTCCCTCCTAAAAAGTGAGGGGAGTGTGTCTTATGGAGCGAATGCAGGCTGCGCAGCTATCCCAGAAGCCAGAACTGCAAGAGGGATTGATCCCTCTTGCTGTTCTGGCTTCTGAGATTCAGAATATTTTTTTCTTGTTTTCCTCCTCCAAAAACTAGGTGTGTCTTGTGGTCTGGTGCTTCTTATAGAGCAAAAAATACGGTACATTTTGCTGTATAGCCAACACAAGATCAGACATCATTCTTCCACCTCTCCAGCCTGTTTGCCTGGTGGTTCGGTTTTTATGACACATATATTCCCCTTCACCTTATTTTCTTAAAAAGGTTAAAGAAAAAATCAAAACTCCCCTAGGAAGGGGGCGGGAAGAAGGTTGTTGGTGATGCTTTTAGGCACTATCCAGTCATCATTCAGCCTCCAAGGCTGCCTTTCTGCTGGTCGAAACTAAACCACATTGCAAACTTGCAGAACCAGGTGTGTGTGTTGTTGTTGCTGTTTCCCAGAGCTCATCCTAGGGAAGAAAATGGGTTGTTTGCATTGACCTTTATTGCATGGTGAGGGGGGCAGTGTGTTTGCCTCCTAAACCAACCCCACTACTGAACTACAGTTCTGTGTGGTGTGCATTTTACTATTCAGCTGCCCCAAAATGACAGTTTTCTGTAAGGGGGGAAATGGTAGCATTCCACATTAATGACATTCTACAGGCAAGAGCCACAGAGAAATATTGACCAGGGTCCAAGCATAAAGTCAGGTTGATAGGGCTCATGTAACACGGCATACAGACCTACATTTAAAGCACCTTATTTCTCTCCCTTCCCTCACCCCTGCCCCCAAATATCCTGGGCATTGTGATTTAACCCTCACAGAACTACAATTCCCAGGATTCTTCATGTGGGGGGTCCTTTAAATGAACAGTGTGTGCGCAGCATAAGAAAAAAGCAGTACTATCTCACAGGTTGTGAGGTAAAATGGGGACAGGAATGCCAACTTGAGTTCCTTGAAGGAAAAAAAGGTGGGATATAAATTCAGTAAATACCGTATTTTTCGCTCTATAGGATGCACTTTTCCCCCTCCAAAAATGAAGGGGAAATGTGTGTGCGTCCTATGGAGCGAATGCAGGCTCCTCGGCTTCAGCGATAGCAATGCGAAGCCTCCGAAGCGCAGAGGGAGAGCTCCCACCGCGCTCCGGAGGCTTCGCGTTGCTTTCGCTGAAAGCCGCCTGGAGCCCCCGGAGCGCAGCACGAACGCCCGCTGAGCTCTGGGGGCTTCAGGCAGCTATCTGCAAGCCTTCGGAGCGCAGCAGGAGTTCCCGCCATGCTCCGAAGGCTTGTGAATAGCCGCCTGAAGCCTGGAGAGCGAGAAGCCTGGAGAGCACACCGATTTACTGGAGAGGTGCTGCACAGTTTTCCCTCTCTGCGCAGCGCCCCTTCAGTGAAGCGGGAGGAGAAATGGAAGGGGCTCCGTTTCTCCTGCCGCTTCACTGATGGGATGCTGAGCAGAGAAGGGGAGGTTTTTTTCCCCTGTTCTCCCCCTCCTATGGTCTGGTGCGTCCTATAGAGCGAAAAATACGGGAATACTGCGGTGGGATTTTTCAGCAATCAAAAAATTAGCAGCTTGAAATGCGGCGAGGTTACATACCCCTACACAAACGCGGCGTTTCAAGTCCCTTTCTTACACACACCAGGGCAGGGATGTCTTCACCCGATGCCCACGGCCAGATTTGTTTCCCTGTGCCCAACTCCAATGCGCCCAAACTCTGCGGCACCTTTCTTCAAATA